TGCAGTGTGTAGTAGTTGTCTCCGTGCCGACCTCAGTCCAACAGTTCCAGGCTCGCCATCATCCCCATCATCGCCACTTAAATCGGGGCCGTCTGATGGATTATGGTCTGTGTTTGCGTGTCGCTCGTTGCAACCCACCTCTATTACGGCTGTCGAACTCGCTCAATCCGATCCCCAGGGAGAATTGATAACCTTCGTTTCGTATACGAACGGAGCTCGCCCGGTCATAGCCATTTACAGCCCGATCAAGACGCGCAATGTGGAATGGATTGTTGCGCCAAAATCATTCGGTGAAGTTCAATCGGTGCGTGCTGGTGTTTACTCGTTTTATTCACGTTCCTTTGCACACGCTGAATGCAACCATGTTCCTCAGTGACCGATTCAGTTCAGTGTAATTTTGTACCTGCTTAGTAGGGGTAGGGGAATGTAAGGAACACGCTGGTCGTTTATAGCCGGGATCAAATTTTCCTTTTATGTCTCTCTGGGTTTTAAGAAGTCAGCATCTCTCTCCAGGACTATACTTTTCCTATCGTTTAAGATCTATTAGAGTCGTTGCGACTGTTTACTGACTGCAGAACTTATGTGTTTCACACGTGTCTAATACCAGGCTGCGCCAAGCAAATCATAGTACAATGATGCCTATAAAAAACTATAGTCCGTGATTTGCTTGTGGATAAATTACTGCCAGGTTGCTCAGACAGTGGACTTTTCAGAACCGAAGCCTTTGACTAGCCAACGCCTGACCCACATGATAGCGCGGTGGTGTTCGGAAACCGCTGTCTATTCAGGACGATGTCCAGTTCATTGGATCAATTATCCTTTGGATGGAGTCGAACTTTCAAAGTGCTGCATGCACTTCGAAGCCCGATCAAATCTGTGACTACCGCCACAACCACGAAGTTGTGAGTGGGTGTGGTTTGGACGCCTCATTCGTTGGTTTGAAACCAAAGTTTTCAGCCGGCATCACCCACCGGGTTATAGCCCCGGATGTTGGGTAACGTGCGAACCACGCACAAACCCTCCTGGTTGTGATAGTGGTCAGCGACTTGATTGGATAACTAGGTGTATTGCGCAACGTTGAAGTTTTTACCCTGTCCAAATTGGGTATGATCCGATAAACTGGATACCGGCCCCCAATGATTTTCAGTTTCGACACACCGCCCTGCAGCCTTACGGGTCAGGCTTTGGTTGGCCGAAGACTCCGATCGTGAGCTTCATCAGAAAATTCATCTGCTGTGGTCTGGACAATCTAGCAGTATGATTTTCTCGAGCAAATCATGTGATTTTTCCTTTTTTATGAAGATCATTGTACCGTTATTGGTTTGGCACACAACCTAAAGACAGACGTGTGTGAAAATTTAAATCTATATGCCTGGTCTCAAACAAAAAATCATCTCCTGAGGTTGCGCCAGTGTTCACACATATGCCGAAAACAACCAAGCTTACCTTGAGATCTTTAAAGATCTTACACGAATTAAACCTTATCCCGCGTAAAGAGCACCGTTGTTACCAATCTCGTCCACGATGACCACATGGGCGCATATGACTAATCAGGGAGTGTTGTAAGCGGTTTCGTTATCTTGTTCTCAGCGTTACCTAAGATGGGCAAATGATTTTTTCCATTTTTTTCTTTGGGCAGATGAGAAGGATTGATCATTCATTTGTGGGAAAGTCCTGTTCCTCGACTTGTAATTCCGACCTAGTTATTTACGTGTATTAGCCCAAACTAACGCTTACTTTCATGAAGCGTTGAATCCAAGTCATCTGTTGCCCATCGCCCTTTTGACTGTGTTTCGGGTCTCGAGGTAAAAGCCGATAAGACAAGCTAGTTAGAACAGGCAAAAGAAAAGCGGGAATCTGTGGTTCTTCGGGCCCATCATTCGACACCCTCATTCAGTCGACAAGTCTAGTTCAATAGGCCTCACCATTGTGCGTACAACGGGAACTCGGACTTGATAGACAGACACGTGTATAGCAAATCATAATGCGAAACTGAAACACTTACAGTTCACACGCGCTCATGTTTGGTGATCCCTATGTGGTGGGACTAAGACGTTAAGCTAAACACAACAACCTATAAACGCCGGGGGATATACCCTTCACGCCTGTGTTCAATGTACTTCACTCACTATTGCGTGAGCTAATGTCTACGTCTTCACTACTTGGCTTCATTATCTACTATCTCGATTAGGCCACGTCTGTGTGGTTTTCTGGCAGACTGATATCTCTTTGACCTTTGACTCTTGCAAATCATTGTCTGACTTTAACGTCAAGTGGTAACCGCTATTTCTTGCCTGTCTCATTCAGATCAACTCTAATCCTCAAATAAGCATAAGAAAAGGGAAGCGCATTTCACTTGCCAGTGTCTGACAGAAACGGTCGCTGATGAGGAAGCAACGTGTGGCGTGCAACGTACTGCTATGTGGTTGATAATTATCTCTATTCAATATATACGGCTGACTAAACTCTGCATCCGCCAGGTTTAACTTGAACCAACAGACAATTTAACAGATTTTTCTATTTAGTTCCAGTCTCCGAAACTTCTTAGTACCCCTTTAGGATGAGCAAACTTCTCCATCCTTTAGTGATCTCACCAACTGCCAGTCGTGCAAGTAAGTGTTGAGTTTACGTATTCACTCTTTTGACACTGCTACCCAAAACCCCTCGATATGTTATGCTGTTAGGGTTTGGATTATTCGTTTCTCCCCCCCAAAAAAGATCCTACAGGTTTTCGATTCGGTCTAGCAACCCGAAGGGAGATGATTTCTCGGTGAAGTTAATTCTTCTACAAAATCTCAGAGTGATGTGACCCGGCATTGATATCCGGAGGGGATTCATCTCCTCATCTTTCAGATTTTATGAGGTATATATGGTTGCTCAGAGCAGTCTCATAATGGGCCCCAGTCGCGCACTGATGCATCAATAGCCCGAGGATCCCTGGATGGTTCGATTCTGAAACATCCAATTCCATATTTCCGTTTTTACTGCTACTGCAGTTGCAACTGGATCGGATGTCGGCTTGAAACTAACACTGACGAGACTGATGTTTAAACTTCTACCGTTAAAAATGTGAGTATTGTGGGATCTCAGAGATAATAGTGCACCGCTGGTCACAGTCACATCTTCGTTTGAAAACATGTGGTCCTCAAGTTTGAAACCGACATGCTTACGAATTCCTTGAATCCTAGTAATCTACGAATGAATCGATGGTTTAGAGCATTCGCATAGAACCAGTCTACGAGTCACTTGGAGATAAACACCAACTAATCAATATGTATTAGTTATTACCAGTTGACCTTGACATCACGTGCGCCTCTTTATCTGACCAACATTCAGATAATTTTCGCGCAACACATGGTTAATGATATAGACAATTAAACTGGTTGAAGTTCCGCTGACGTCATTTGCATTCCGGAAGAGCACACGACGTCTTGGGGCATCATTCTTTTATATGCAGTGTGCGACGTGAATACCAAATGCTTTTGGATGTTAAGACTGTTTTCCTGTGATTAACATCTGCTCACCAGTGCTATCAATATGCATGTATACCATCGAAACATTCTGCGTCATTTCTGTTTAGAAACTTCGCTTCGAATTCAACCCTAATTGTTCATGATTGCGCGTTCGGTCTTTTGTTTCCAACACAGTTTCACGTCTCACCAAACGGACAAATTATCTGGTGCTTGCGCAAATTCACCCCATCCGGACCGAATGAGGTGGACGGAGGCGTGGTTGATGTTTGCCTGGAACCGAATGGGATTTGTGGCCTGGCCCAGTCTTGGCTACAGGGTCAACCGGGTCAATGGGAATCGGCTGTGCTTCGTCGGGTAGTCTCTTTGGATTTAGGCAACAATCGAGCCGTGTTTGTCACTAGCATGGGTCAGGTGAAGGTATGTCACACGAGTCACATGTGTCTCACTCATTCTCCTTTCCCAATCTACCTATCGTATCAACCAGAAAGGTCGATCAAACTATTCGTGGTTTGGATGTTTGTAAACCACTCGATTCGGATGGTATTCCACCGATCGTCGTAAAAATTTATACGCCCGAATTAGCCCCCTGTTCTACGACGCCTATGCGGTTTTTCACTCTATCTTATTTTTCTAATCCCAACAACTATCGTACCATCACTCTCACTTCTGTCAGTTCGAGAGTGTTTGAAACTATTATCCCCGACCGGGGGCGTACGTTTCTCGAACGCCAAGGTCTGTTAAATCACCGTCAATAAGGATTTCGCCCTCGTCGATCTACGTACGGGTGTCCTACTGGCGCTCACATCACATTCCTTCTGGTCAACTGCACTCGATAACGACGGAGAAACTCACACGGTCTCACTCGACACTTCAAAGACTTTCGACCGCATTTGGCACGAAGGTGTCGAAATGACCAACGTTCGGATTCTTTCATCTCTCGTATCGTGGCTCCAGTGTTTTCTCGTCAAGCGAACCATCTCTGTCCGAGTCGATGGGGATCCTATCACGGTCATTCCCTTTGAATGCCAGTGTTCCCCTGGGTTCCATATTTTCGCCCGCCACCCTCTTCCTTCTATTAATCGACTATATTTTTTTGAAAACGTTTAATCCCATTCACTGCATTGCCGATGATGTCACTCTCCATTATTCTCTTTCTTATTCCACAACCCAACAGGCCACTATCAACATAGATCACGATCGTATTGTTGTCATTGGTGCTTCTCTTGCCTCCGATCTAGGACTCGTCTCTGAATGGTGTTCTACCANGTCATGTGTGTTTCAATGGTTCCAAAACTTCCCGCTGCCTTTCGGGTCAGAATTTTGAGTCAAAGGCTTCAGTTAGGGTTCCCAAAGAAAAACCTCTTCGTCAAAATGGGCTGCCGCGAAGTATGCCGTGCCGTAAAGTCTTAGGCACCCATTTGGAAAACCATCTTTCTCATCTCTCTAGTTCTTCTTTTCCTCTTTTAGGCTTTCAAAACGTCTCTGTTAAACGTATCCCTGAGTCTCCTCAACTGATTTTTGACTCGCTGCCCCTTAGTTCCACAAATTCTTTCTTCCACCTGGGTTTTTCCATAAATTCCTCTCTCTGTTGGTCCCCTTTTATTACTACACTTACCTCGCGCGCTGCGCGCGAAGTTGGTTTTCTATTCCGTGCAAAGCGTATCTACCCAAACACCTCCTTTTATACAAAGC